TACACACCCCCCCTCCCATTTAATCCGCAGGCTCTGGTCCCCTGGATGAGGAACGCTGAGCTGGCCGGCCAGCCTTTCACGGTATCTGACCAGGCCCTCCTGGACCAGTGTCAGCCCTACTTGACCACCTCGGCCGGCCATTTCCGTGCCTATCCGAAGTGAGTCTGGACCCAACTCAGTGGGACACCCCTGGGATCTGAGCACCCCCATCTTTCAGCCTTCTGCTCTAGACATTCAGACCCCAGCTCCACCTTGTCCAGTACCCAGCCTCCCATAGAGTCCACCTCAGGAGCCTGCCATGGCGACAGAGATTCCCAGGGTGGGGTCTGGGTCTGGGCGCGGGTCCTCCTTCAGTGGGTACCTCCGCTTTTTCCTACTGCTTCAAAAGATGTGGGTCCCCAGCCCCATCCTCCCTAACCCCAATCCCAGACCCCGAAACAATCCTTGCCATGCAGGAGCTGGCTCAGGGGCCTTCCTGGGCCGATGGTCCTACCTGCTCACCCCACCAGGAAGGAGCTGTCCGGATACCCCTGTAAGGACACGCTGACTTTCTGGAACATGGGGCAGACGGCTCTGGCATGTGGCGACCGCTGCCAGCCGCCCCTCCAGCCAGCGCGGGTCCCTGTGCCCCCGGCGGTGCCGCACCGAGGAGCGCTCTCTCTGGCCCAGGAGTCCTATGGCCGCCCATCTCACCCACTCTGCGGGCTCCACCGGTTCTGCCCGCTGGAAGTGCCCTGGGGCAGACCCCACTGGAAGCCCGTGCCGGCCATCTACTCCACGCCCCACGCCTACCGCACCGAGTACTCGCGCTACGGCAGCTTCAAGCCCGCCCTGGTCTGAGCGCCAGGCGGACCCGTCCCCCCAGCGGGGCAGAGGTGGCCTTGGGACACGCCCGCCACTTGAGGGGGTGGGTGGGGCTGCATACACCCTCTAGCCAGTGAGGGAAGGGCTGGTGGGAAACTAGGACTAGGAGCAAGGACTAGGTGAATGGACACGCCCCTACCGTGGAGGAGGCGGGGCTTATTGATGGAAGATGGAGTTAAAATAGCTAAACCAAGCCTGAGTCGGGACCTGCCTAACATCGTGGGTGCTGGGGGTGAGGTGGGGGCGGCGGTGCATCTGGCATAGCAACAGAGACACCCTTTGGGCTTGGGCAGAGAGCAGGCTTGAAGTTCTGTGCATTGCCACCCTGGACCAGGAATGCCCATCCTTCCCTGGTGAGCTCCTGGAATTCCTTGGCAGTCCTGGAGGGTCCAGGTCGCAGGCTGACCAGCAAGACTTCACAGAGTTCCCTGGTCCCCACCCCCACTTCCTGTGCCCCAACCACCTGTCTGAAGCCCGAGTGGGAGACCCACGTCACTAAAGGTGTCACATTCTGCGGGCCGACCTTGTCCTGCTTCGCCCGGGAGGTGGTGGTGCAGGGATTAGTGTCTAGGTTACCGGCATCTCGCACTCGGTGGCCTTGCCACCCCCACAGCCCACAGGTATAAGGCCAAGTGGAGGCCGCAGGGGAGACATTGAGGATGGAGATGCTGCAGGTGAGGTGGCGGGGGTCACACCTGGGACCAAGAGAGACAGAGTGCTGTGACCTGAAGCCTCTATGTAGAAGGGGCGGGGCAGTTTTTTGCCAGAAGGGAAAGGCTGGGCCTGCCCTGGGGGCGGGGGTCCATTAGGCACAGGCTAGGAGGGTGTGACGGGGCTGGGCCTGCTTGGGGAGCCGGTGGTGGTGGTGGTGGTGAAGCACTCAGGGCGGGGTCTCCTTGCCCCAGGGGTTGTTGCTGTGGCTACTGCTGGGCTCAGGCGGGGTGTGGGCATCTCGAGGACTGCTGCGGCCGCTGTGCCGCCCCATCAACGCCACCCTGGTCGCGGAGAATGAGGCCTGTCCCTTCTGTATCACCTTCACCACCAGCATCTGTGCCGGCTACTGTCCCAGCATGGTGAGTGGGCCAGGATAGGGCGGATGACTGCACTCCGGGGCGACAGGATCCGTGCTGGGGGACGGCATGGATTCTCAGACCCACGCGGAGGCCCCCTCAAATACTCACCAACCCATGACCCCGCTCACTGCCTCTAGGTACGGGTGCTGCCAGCGGCTCTGCCACCTGTGCCCCAGCCTGTGTGCACCTACCGTGAGCTTCGCTTCGCCTCTGTCCAGCTGCCCGGCTGCCCGCCCGGTGTGGACCCCATGGTCAGCTTCCCTGTGGCCCTCAGCTGCTGGTGTGGGCCCTGCCGCCTCAGCAGCTCCGACTGTGGGGGCCCGAGGGCCCACCCAGGGGCCTGTGACCGCCCGCACCTCCCAGGCCTCCTCTTCCTCTAGGGAACCCTCAGCCTCGCAGACCCCTCCTCTCCCCGCCCAATAAAGGCTCTCCAACCCGCTCTATGTGGTCT